GAGGGGGGCCCCCCAAGGTGCTGGCGCCCCCCAAGGGGTCGGAGGCCTCCTTGGAGCCGGCGACAGCTCTCCCCTCGGAGACGAAGGCCCTTGCAGGAACGGGGGCGCCTGGGGGGACGGCTTCCCTGTGCCAAGAGGCCGGACGCCCCCTCGAAGGAAAGAGCGACGTAGGAGACAGGGCAGGCTTCGCGGGCACAAAATCCCCCCCGGAGCTGGGGCCCGCAGTGGGATTAGAAAACCGAGATTCCCGGGCGGGGGGAAGCCCAGGAGCCAGGCATCAGTTTGCGAACAGGCTGGCATCGCCAGAAACAAAGCGGCCGTTCAACAAGGGGCTGGAAGGGGGCTTCGGAGGACAGAATTCGTCCAGGGCCCCTACGGAGAGGAGCCACTCAGGGGCCAGGGAGACCTCAGCCTCAGAGGGAGCAGAATCCTCTCTGGGGGTGTGGCCAGGAAGAGAGGCGTTGGGAAATGAGTGTCTCCTCGTGAGGCAGCCCCCCTCGGGCGTGGTGTGTGAGGGTCCGCAGGCCACAGGGAGCGGGGGAGGTCCCGTGGCAGGTGGCCCTGAGGGGACAGAGGCGTTAGGGGAAAAGCCACCTGTTTGGGAGATGGCCTCAAGAGGGGACCCGGCAAAAGGGCCTGCCTGGGGTGTGATGAGACCCAGAGCCCAGGTGATTCCCCCGAAGGTAGACCTTGGACGACCCCAGGCGGAGGAGGCAGAGGAAAGGAGGAACGCAGAGCCCCAGATGGGCTTGGTCTTAGAACCTCCCCAGGGCCCCTTTGCCCAACCACCTGGAGAGGAAAAGGAGTCTGAACGCCTTGAGCCGGGAGTGGAACCTCCAGATGACATCCGGCCCGTATACTCTGGGAAGTTTTTTGATCGGACGCCTGGCTGGCCAAGCGTAAGTTTTTTTCCCCCCCCAGTGCCAGTAGCTAAACAGCGGACAGCCATGTCTTGATTGAGTTGATGAAGTGATGAAACGTGTTTGCGTCTGCAGAGACAAGTCACAAAGGTTTCATTGCGATTCCGGTGTTTTGCGTCCCTCTGGACTCTTCCAGATGCTCCTTTGCTTTCTGACTCTCTGTCTGCCGTCTTGTACGTGACCTCTGTTTCCTGTGCATGACGGTGGTTTCTTCTGACTCCCTTCCCTTTCCTCACGTAGCCTTCGTTTCATCCCTCAATCTTGCTTTTCTTTTCTTTTCTTTTTTTTTTTTTGAGTTGGAGTCTCACTCGGTCGCCCAGACTGGAGTGCAGTGGCCGCTCCCGGCCACCGCGGCCTCGACCCGCTGGGCTCTGGCGATCCTTCCGCCTCAGCCTTCAGAGTAGCCGGAATTATAGGCTCGCGCTACCATGCCCAGCTACTTTTTTGATTTTATTGTAGAGATGAGGTCTCGCGGCCTAGGCAGGTCTCGAACCCGCGGGCTCTGACAATCCACTCACCTCAGCCTCCCAAAGGCGCAGGATTACAGGCTGAGCCACAGAGCCTGGCTTCTTTTTTTTGTTGTTTTGAGTTGGAATCTCACTCTGCTGCCCAGGCTGGATTGCAGTGGCACGCTCATGGCCACCGCAGCCTCTACCTCCTGGGCTCAGGCGACCCTTGTGCCTCAGCCTTCCGAGTAGCTGGAACTACAGGCACACACCACCATGCCCGTCTAGTTATTATTGTAGAGACAAGGTCTCACTATATTGTCCAGGCTGGTCTCAAACCCAGGCAGTCCTCTCACCTCCGTCCACCTCCCAAAGTGCTGGGATGACAGGCATGAGCCACTGAACCCTGCCCAAATTTTCATTTTCTTAGCCTTCTCACCTATTGAGATGCATGGAGATGCGTGTTGTAGCCTAGTATTTATGCTATGAATAGATAAGAAAAGCGCTTTTTCCACTTATTATTTCTTCTGTGAGTTGTCCTTTCAGCACAGACTTGTAGTTGCTATTGTGCTGGGGGGGACCCCAAAAACCCCAGAATTGTCTTTTGGAGAGCGGGCCCCTTACAGTACAGACTTCTTCTGTTAGGTGTGAGAAAAGTTCTGGGAACCCATCGGCATCAATGGACCAGGTAGTGTCGTGAAAGGTTGCATTCAGCTTCAGTGAATTTTTTTTTTTTTTTCTTGAGTTGGAGTCTCACTCTGTTGCCCAGACTAGAGTGCAGTGGCCACTCCCAGCCACCGCGGCCTCGACTTGCTGGGCTCTGGCGATCCTTCCGCCTCAGCCTTCCGAGTAGCCGGAATTACAGGCGCGCGCTACCACACCCGGCTGATTTTTTGATTTATTGTAGAGACGAGGTCTCGCTGCCCAGGCGGGTCTCGAACCCACGGGCTCAGGCAATCCACTCACGTCAGCCTCCCAAAGGTACGGGATGACAGACTGGGCCATCGAGCCCAGCTGTTCAGCAGTTTTTGACCCAAAATGACATGATCCCCATGCCCCACCATCCTTATTCATCCAAATTTGTGCTGAGTGACTTTTGTTTTTTTGTCTCCTGGGATGAAAAAGTCCTTCAAGGGAAATGTTTTGCTGATGTGGAAGAGATAAAACCAAAAAATGACAGAAGCTCGAAAAGGCATCCAAATAGACGAGTTCGGGAAGTGTTTTGAGTAATGTAAAAGGCATCTCCGTAGGTGTATTGCATCAACTGGAGAGTACTTTGAAGGTGACTGAAATTTAAACATGCAAGAATAACTACGGCCAGGCATGGTAGCTCAAACCTGTCATCCCAGCACTTTGGGAGGCTGAGATGAAAGAATTGCCTGAGCCCATGGATTCAAGACCAATCTGAGCAACTTGGAGAGACCTCATCTCTACAATAAATTAAAAAATTAGCCGGCCGTGGTGGTGCATGCCTGTAGCTCCAGCTATTTAGAAGGCTGAGGTGGAAGGAGCATCTGAGCCCAGCAGGTTGAAGCTTTGGTGGCTGTGAGTGTGCCACTGCACTCCAGTGGGCAACAGAGTGCGATTCCAACTCAAAAAAAAAAGCCAGGCTTGGTGACTCAGCCTGTAATCCGGCGCCTTGGGAGGCTGAGGTGAGTGGATTGCCTGAGCCCGCGGGTTCGAGACCCGCCTGGGCAGTGAGACCTCATCTCTACGATCAATCAAAAAAATCAGCCGGGCGTGGTAGCACGTGCCTGTAATTCTGGCTACTTGGAAGGCTGAGGCGGAAGGATCACTGGAGCCCAGCAAGTCGAGGCTGCGGTGGCTGGGAGCGGCCACTGCACTCCAGTCTGGGTGACAGAGTGAGACTCCAACTCAAAAAAGAAAAATAGGAGTCTTCCTTCGTGGAAGTATGCACTAAATACAGAGTTGAGTGGAGTGATTGTACAACTCTGTTTGCAGGAGATCAGAAAGACTTAACAGAGGAAGTAATGTTTGCCTTAACATTGAAAAGGGTCAGTATTTGTCAGATAGAATGATGAGGGCAGAGCATTTTGGACAAAGAAAGGCAGAGACTATGGTCAAAGCTTCTTGTGTTTGAAAGATAAAGAATTCTGTTCAAGCTGGGCATGGTGGCTCACACCTGTCATCCAGCACTTTGGGAGGTCGAGGCGAGAGAACTGCCTGAGCCCAGGGGTTCAAGACTAGCCTGAGCAACTTGGCGAGACCTCGTCTCTACAATAAATAAAAAAATTAGCTGGCCATGGTGGCGCATGACTGTGGTCCCAGTTACTTGGAAGACTGAGGCGGAAGGATGGCCGGAGCCCAGCAGGTGGAGGCTGCAATGGCCATGAGGTGCCACTGCACTCCAGCCTGGGCGACAGAGTGAGACTCTGACTCAAAAAACAAAAACTCTGGTATCAGGATTAATGATAGACTGGAAGGGGAAGATATTGAATGACAAGTGGAAGGATGGAAGGCCATTCCAAAGTTACGATGGACTGAAATTAATAGAGTGGACCTTGAGAGGTTGCTGGAGTTGAGATGTTAAAAAAAAACTACTGCCACCCAGCTGAGGATCTGTGATGAGTGAGGGAAGCTGATGGATGGCGTGGGAGTTTCCACGTTGGCAATTGATTTCTTTGAGTTTGGTGGCAGATGGATAGCCACTGTTGGCTGTCTTGAGTTGAGGTCTCAGGTGAAGAAGCCAAGGAGACAATCAGTGATGTGAGACCATTGAAGCCAAGGGCGGGCACGGGAGAAGAAAGTCCAGGCAAGATACTTGGGAAACATGGGTAGTATGACAGGTGGTCAGCGAAAGAGATTCAGCAGGGTGTGGGCTGGGGGTCAAGGGCTGCGTCTAGCTTGTACCCTCGTGGCATGGGGTGGTCATCCAGTAAATGTGTGCTCGGTGACTCAGCCTGTCATCCCAGTACTTTGGGAGGCCGAGGCAAGTGGACTGTCTGAGCCCACGGGTTCGAGACCAGCCCAGACAACTTGGCAAGACCTCATCTCTACAATAAATTAAAAAATTAGCCAGGCATGATAGCGTGCACCTGTAGTTTCAGCTACCTGGAAGGCTGAGGTGGAAGGATCGTGGGAGCCCAGCAGGTTGATGCTGGGGTGGCCGTGAGCGTGCCACTGCACTCCAGCCTGGGGGGACAGAGTGAGACTCCAACTCAAAAAAAAGAAAAAGAAGCCGGGCTTGGTGGCTCAGCCTGTAATCCCGCGCCTTTGGGAGGCTGAGGTGAGTGGATTGCCTGAGCCCGCGGGTTCGAGACCCGCCTAGGCAGCAAGACCTCATCTCTACAATAAATCAAAAAATCAGCTGGGCATGGTAGCTCATGCCTATAATTCTGGCTCCTTGGAAGGCTGAGGCGGAAGGATCGCAGGAGCCCAGCAGGTTGAGGCTGTGGTGGGCGGGAGCGGCCACTGCACTCTAGTCTGGGCGACAGTGTGAGACTCCAACTGAAAAAAAAGAAAAAGAAAAAGAAAAAGAACGGTCAGAGAAGACGAGGGAAGTCTGAGTGAGGATACTTAGGAACATACCGCCTCCTTCAAACATACACTGAGGACTAAGGGCAAAACTCAGTTGAATAGGCCATGGGGTTCTGCAGAACCTTGTCTGGGTTTGCAGACTTTTGTGTCACTGGGGACTCAGTCTTATTTCTTTCTCTTTTCTTTTTTGAGTCGGAGTCTCGTTTTGTCGCCCAGGTTGGAGTGCAGCGACGCACTCATGGCCACTGCAACCTCGACCTGCTAGGCTCAAGTGATCCTTCTACCTCAGCCTTCCGAGTAGCTAGAACTACAGGCGTGAGCCACCATAGCTGGCTAATTTTTTGATTTATTGTAGTGACGTGGTCTTGCCAAGTTGCCCTGGCTGGTCTCAAACCCCTGCTCAGGCAATCCTCTTGCCTCTGCCTCCCAAATTGCTGAGATAATAGGCGTGAGCCACTATGCCCAGCTGTCTTCTTATTTCTTTATCCCACTTTCTGGTTCCCCCATTGGATTTCCCCAGCCACTACTTGACCACACCTGCTTCTCTTTTCTGTATTGTTCTGCATTTTATGGCTTCTGCTGTGCTCTGATCTCACACACGTGCAGACATGAGCTTCTGGTTTCCAACACAAGTGATCGTAAGACCCGTGTTGGCTTCCACCTCTTCCAGCCCCCCTTCCACACGTTATGGGTTGAGAGAGAGAGTGTCAAGGAGAGAGTGACCAGAGTTAAGACACCTCTGACAAGGCAAACAGGATTTAAACATAAACAGGTTAATTAACTGGGAAATTAGCAGGCCGAGCTTGGTGGCTCAGCCTATAATCCCAGCACTTTGGGAGGCCGAGTTGAGGATTGCCTGAGTTTACAGGTTCGAGACCAGCTTGGCCAACTTGGCGAGACCTCATCTCCACAATAAACCAAAAAAAAGCCAGGCGTGGTAGCACACACTTGTAGTTTCAGCTACTTAGAAGGCTGAGGTGGAAGGATCACCTGAGTCCAGCAGGTCAAGGCTGCGGTGGACATGAGCACTTCAGC